AGAAAATTACACATCAGGACATTCACAATCTTTGTGAACAGTCCAGTTGTAGAGATTTCTCAGATCCCACTTTCTAAACGGAGCAACATCTGAAGGATGACTTGCACATCTGATAAACAGGCAAACTCCTGCACATGCTTCAGAACCCTGATGACATGTCATCTATCCAGTAGAGCTGCTTTCCTGGTCCAAATCAGCCGAGCAGCCCACCTTCTCATTGTTCCTCTGTCTCTTAGATTTGCAGCCTGTATTTTCTCACTTCCTGGTTGTTCTTCTCTACTAGGTTGTGGCTCCCAATCAGCTTTCCTCTTCATTTGCTGGTCCCAGTGCCAGGAACATTGAAGGAACAGGTATCAGATATCGTGAAGATGATGAGTTTCCCGCTTGAAATGCAGAGCAAGACGTCTCTCTGCAAATTGTTGGGAAACTTGGGAAGCCCTGTCTGATGGGATTTCTTTGGAGGGCTCTGCCTGTATGCTGGGACAGTTGCAAGCTGGTCTGTAGGACCAGTGTCTGTGTTGGCTTCCACAAGATAAGGGGCTGTCAACACAAGTGGAATAATCAGGAGGAACTGGTGGGAAAGCAGCACTGGCCTCAGAGATTTCCAGCGTGATTAGATAAGGGAGTATGTAATTGGAAATGTGCTGGCAGGGAGACATGCTTTGAAGTTCCAGGCTGATTATGTTAGGGAATAGGTCCAGTATCTGGGTTGCAAGAGCCTCCCTGATCAGCAAAGAGCACCTGCTCTGTGGGAGAGCAGAGAGCCTGGGTCTTTGTCTAGAGGTGTCACTGAGAAACCCCTTGCCCAAGCTCCTGGTGGGCAACATTTGCATCAAGAGATGCACAGATGTGAGCCAGGACCGACCTCTGACTTGCAGAGCCTGAGCTCAGAGAGTGAAGGGGCAGCCGATTGCAGGTGGCATTTGGTGTCTTCTCTCTAGCATGCACGCTCAAGAGGGCCATGGGGACTTCAGCTCAGTTACAGAAAGCACGCTCTGTAGTTTGGAGGAAGCCAAGTGCCCCTATCCCCCAGGAGGGCGGTGCAGTTACTTTGGAAATTACTGAATTTAAGTGCTTCTGACAGAGAGCAGGCACCCTGCTTTGCTGGGAGAACTTGCACCTTCTGAGGGCTCCCTGTCAGTCTCCCACTGTTCCAACCTCAGCTCCGTGAATAGATGGGAAGTTATCCATCTCCGTTTGACGGCACATAGCTCTTACTTTATTTGTTGAAGAAGGAGTCTTGTCTTGAAAAATCAGGTTGGATCAAGTCCAAAGCTCCCCAAAAGACCTGGCTGAAGCCCTCTTTCCTCTTACAAAGGGGTCATGGTCTACACAGAGGAGGGCTAGCAGGGCTCCTCAGAAGATCCAGGGCAGTCCCTGTGTGTGTTTTGCCACCACTCATGGCCACCTCCAAGACACCCATTTTTGGGCACAGGGACAGACCCCCAAGGGAGCAAGCTGAGCCTGGAGTGTGCGATCTGGGTGGAAGCAGCCAGGGACGGCCACTTGTCACCAGCATGCCCGACAGCTCGCCTGTTCCTCTGATATCACTGTGACTGCAGAGAGCTTAGCTGAACTGCCCTGCTTGGAAGCCATCAGGCCTTGGCAAAACACAAAACACGTTTTCCAGGCACTTCTTGTTTTCCCAGCACTGACTATACTCGGCGTGAAATGGAATCCATCTGTCTGAAGTGCTTTTGCTGAATTCTGTGCAGCATGGTTTTCTGTAAGAGTGTCTGAAGGCCTGAAGGTTTTGATCTTTTGTCTTGGAAGGAGGGCACCACATTTTGCTACAAGACAGTGTAAATTGAAACCTAAAGCAGGCGTGTCTGGTGTGGTTCTCTGTGAGGCGTATGGATACAGGGCGGCAGGGATGGCCTTCCTGTCCCTTTGCTAAAGTTGTTCTCTGGGAGTGAGGAAGTGGACTGTCCCCTGGGCTATGCAAGGTGAGACCAGGGCAGTCTTTCCCCCCGTATAAAGAGGTTCTGAGCAATTGGAGCCGGAGAGTAGGTAACAGAGCCTAGCTACTGAAGCTAATGAAGTTCAGGTCCGTAAGAACTGGAGCTGCCCGTCCATCAGAGACTCTCGAGGGTCTTTTTGCTGTCACTGTGAGTGCTGTCCTTCAAAGGTCCCATCTCACCAGTTAAGATAAAAAAAAAAAAGATTATTAGTCTTTTTTTTTTTTAACGTTAGAAACTATGGGATAATGTTGGTGCTGGGGATGTAGCTCGGTGGTAAAGCACCTGCTAGCATGCACAAGGCCCAGGGGTTCCATCCCCAGCTTCAAAAATACAAGAGAAAGAAAAACCACTCATCGTCCTACTGATCAGCATTCACCACTACAAGCATTGAGGTATTCCTTTACAAGGTTTCTCCTTCTGTCTCTTTAAAGCAAATTGAGATCATAGTAGTTTATGAATAGAGCCTTTTCAAGGACCGTGACATCACAGTCATCTTGCTGGCCCCTGGACAGTCTTCCTAGGCATCAGATTCTGTGACTGCCCAGTATTCTATTATATGGCTGGTCTCCAGTTTTCCTACCCATTCTTGGGCAGTTGCTGTATTCCTAGATTGTCACACAGTGAACAGCATCTTTGGGCACAAAGCTTAGATGGATTCCTAGACATTTCTTCCAATTGTTGAGACTTTGTATGTGAAGGTGTTACCAAGACCCATCTATAAAGCATGGATGTCACAAAAGATGGCAGGCAGAGAGGTGAGGTCAGGTGACAACATTTGCTGTGTCTCTGCCACATTCAGGACATACTGTTAGGACTGTGAGCATAGGAAAGACTTCATGAATGACAGACCCAGTCTTTATCCTTGAGGACCCTACTGGATAGTTTGAAACCACAATATGTAACAATAGTCCAAGGACAGGGGTTCCTGTATTCATGGGAATCCCTGCACAAATTTCAGGATGAAGCAGAATTTGTGTGATCCTCTTGCATTTTCTGGAACTTTCAGCAGAATCATTTCATCTATAGAGTGGCCAATAATTACCCATTCAGTGATTGTTTGGAGTGAGTGTTTAGAGGAAGGTGAATGTTTTCCTCTACTTATCCTTTTCTCCTTTTGTTATTTTATAGTTTTTTATAATAGAAAAAGTAAACTTCTTTGAGTGTCATTCATATGATCATTAAACTAAGGAGATGGCAGTCAGGTACTGGTCTGGGTGTAGCAGAGGCCGGAGCCTACACCCAACAGGTGTGAGGCAGGGATTGGCAGAATTTTTACCTGCCCCTTCAGTGACCTACCAACCTGTTTACATATAACTGGCAACATGAACTTAATGCCTACAAGATCATATTTGCTGGGAACATTCTGTCATGCAGGTACATGGCACTTCCAGTGATACAGTCACTGCCAGTGCTTCAGTCTGCACCTGGCTGCTAGGAGTTAAAAGGGTATTTGGTCACTCTGCAGGCTCCAGACTTCCACTTGGGGCCAGAACTAGGTGTGCATGTGGAAGTTGGTGACTATCGTTTGTACGTCTTTTCTCCCCTTTGCCCCATCACTTCTGCTGTTCAGCTGATTCTTCCTTGGAGAAAATGAGAGTGACAAGCGCCAGTCTACAGCCTTGTCGTGGCGCCCCCTACTGGTCAGGCATCTGTAATTGCAGACTTGGGCAAAACCCCATCTCAGCTCAACTTGTTTCAAGAGCTTATCAATTTTTGTCAATCAAATGTTCAGTTAGGACCTGGGGATGTGTCTCATTACCCCAGTTTCTTTGGGGCCCTTCCCTCATCTGTGGCTGGAGTGCCTGGGTCTCCATCTGAAGGTCTAATGAGGGCACCACAGAGAACTTGACCCGGTCCCCGCCCCGCACGTCCTCTCACCTGGCATCCGTCTTATCTGGCTTGCTAGCACCTGTACAGTTTTCTGTTGTTGTTCCAGTTGGCTGTTTCCCCAGGCTAGTAGGGTTGTTTTTCTTCTTCCCTGACTCTGCTTCTGCAGAATAAATCCCTTTCTCATTCCTTGTCACTCTGCTTTCCTTTGATCCTTTGTTTTCTCCAGACCCAGAACCACTTAGTCTCCTAAAGGGCTCATCTTGCAGCTCCGTGTAATTTATAAACCCACGATAGACATCACACAAGACTAATTCTTATTTGGCCAGCACTCTGCTGGCCAAAAGCAACAAACTCCACCCTGAGGCAGATGGGGGTGGGGAAGGAACCAGGCACTGCCCACCCCAGATATAATGAATATGTGTTCTTTATGGGACTAGAAAAACACTAAACAAACATCCGTGATTAGGGCCAGTCTTAATCCAGAATGCAAAATAAACAAGATAACATTCCAGATACCATCCTGGGGGACTTGGGGGAGGGAGGGGGAGACGGTACCCAAAGCTTACACCTTCACAGGGTGTCAATCACATTCCCTGGGCTAGGATTTGCTTATATCCTGTTTCTATCCAGATTATATTCTATGTAGGATTTTTAAATTAATAGATCTTTAGTAAAAGTTATTGTAAAGCATTTCATAGTTTAGCAAAATATTTTGTATATGTATTAATACAACCATAATTTATATGTAAATATTAAAATATAAATTAATATATTTTATACATGTAAAATGAATATAGATTTATATAAATATTAGAGCATTTTATGCCAGACATTTAAAATATTTCTAAAAATACAGGCTATATAAATACATTAAAGTAAAACTTACTATTTAAGTCAATACCATGGCTTTATATTAAAATTAAATACCTTAACTTATTTAAAATAATATTGAAACTCTGTCTCAAAGAGCTGGGGATGTGGCTCAGTGGTAAAGTGTCCCAGGGTTCAATCCCCAATACTCCCCAAATTAATATTGAAATATGTAGGATGTATTTTTTATATAAATGAAAGGTGTTAGAAAATATTTTTTAAAAATAACCTGGCAGGGGGCGCTCTGCTCAGGTGTGGTTCCCGCCCCGGCGGCCACAGCGCCCCCTACAGCTCACTCCACCGTGAACACTGACCCGCTGTCCTTGCTCCCGCCCGCAGGCATCGGCAAGAACGTCATCTGTGACCGCACAGCCACACCGCTGGATGCCTTCCGCATGATGTCAGCAGCACATTACTACCCCAAGCTCATGAGCATCATGGGCAACGTGCTGCGCTTCCTGCCGGCCTTCGTGCGCATGAAGCAGCTGATCGAGGAGGGCTACGTGGGCGAGCTGCTGGTGTGCGAGGTGCAGGTGCACAGCGGCAGCCTGCTGGGCAAGAAGTACAACTGGAGCTGCGACGACCTGATGGGCGGCGGCGGCCTGCACTCGGTGGGCACCTACATCATTGACCTGCTCACCTTCCTCACCGGCCAGAAAGCCGTCAAGGTCCACGGGCTGCTCAAGACCTTTGTCAAGCAGACAGACCACATCAAGGGCATCCGCCAGATCACCAGTGACGACTTCTGCACCTTCCAGATGGTGCTGGAGGGCGGGGTGTGCTGCACCGTCACCCTCAACTTCAATGTGCCCGGCGAGTTCAAGCAGGATGTGACTGTGGTGGGCTCGGCCGGGCGCCTGCTGGCGGTGGGCACCGACCTGTACGGGCAGCGCAACAGTGCCCCCGAGCAGGAACTGCTGCTGCAGGATGCCACGCCCGTGAGCAACTCCCTGCTGCCCGAGAAGGCCTTCAGCGACATCCCCTCGCCCTACCTTCGTGGCACCATGAAGATGATGCAGGCCGTGCGCCAGGCCTTCCAGGACCAGGACGACCGGCGCACGTGGGACGGGCGGCCTCTCACCATGGCCGCCACCTTCGACGACTGCCTGTACGCGCTGTGTGTGGTGGACACCATCAAGAGGTCCAGCCAGACCGGCGAGTGGCAGAACATTGCCATCATGACGGAGGAGCCGGAGCTGAGTCCCGCCTACCTGATCAGCGAGGCCATGCGCCGCAGCCGGATGTCCCTTTACTGTTAGCACAGACTAAGGACCTGCAGGACTTCGACCTTCTGTGCGGGGCCCAGAGAAGGGGAAACACATAAGGGTGAGAGGGTGGTGGTCATGGGGATCGTGGGAGTTGGGGACAGAACACGAGTAGATGGTATCTGAGAAGGTGAGCCCCAGCCCAGGTAAGGGCCCCCAATAAAGAGTGTCGGTGGGCTGAGCTCACAGCCAGGGCGTAGGCAGAAGAGCCTGCCGTCCTCCACACGTCTTTTGCCAGGTTTTGCATGAGTGGGAAGAAGGCTCGCTGCCTCTGCTGCCCTTTACTGAGAAGCTAGGAGGGGTTGCTTCCCTCCCTACCTCATCCACCCCCACACCTTGGCCTCCTTTGCAAGCCAAATGGCCCTGCATCAGGGGCCAAGGCCATGGGAGCCAGGCTCCCCCGACACCTGCCACTGGCAGGAGATGGCACATCATCTCATGTCCTCATAAGCCTATCAGTCTAGGGAGAGATGGAAGTGGGTTGGGTAGGTGAGGCCACTTTTTAGTCTACTTGAAGTGTCTGAAGGGAAACTCCTTAGAAGCAAAGGGTTTAGCTTCCTTGATTGATCTTCCTCATGGGGAGCCCTAGGGCATGTCTGGTTCCTTATCCTTCTCCCTGTGGGGTAAGGAAGCATTGTCCCTTGGCTGATGTTGGAAAGATCAGGAATGGCAGCAGAGAGCAGGGTTCCCTTAAGCTGAAAGGGGTGAGCAAGAACACACACTGCACGGGAACAGGTGAGGCAGAGAGTAAACCCTCCCTCTGAGCTTGTCAACAATGCAAAAACTGATTTATAACCTTTCCAGGAATGGCGGAATGAGTGAGAGCCATTCACACAACGCCGCACCAAGTGTGGGTCTGACTGCAAGTTCCCACGCTGCCCTGGGTCAGCCACTGTGCCCCAGGGTTGCAGTGTGAGTCCCCAAACAGGGAAAATGAGCATAGCCCTGGAGTTGCTTTGGGCTCCAACACCAAGCTGGGCTTCCCAGCTTGGTAGATTGAAAAGGGAAGCCTTCAGTTCCACTCAGAGTTCTCTTAAGATGAGAAGACAAGGCTCTTTCCCTTAGCTTTGGCTTCTAGAATTCTGACACCTGAAAACTACTGAATATCTATCAAAAAAGATAACAAGGAACATGATTTTCAGTGTTTCTAAAATGGGGGTTTGGAGGCCTCGGAGGGCTGTATGTCAGGGCGGATCAGGCTGAAGGTGGAAAATCTTCTACTTGCCCCCTGGCTGTCTTGTATTTTCACCCACTTTTCCAGCTTCCATTAGCGACAGCCAACTGCAAGCTCAAGAGTGGGCAGTGCCAAAAGGGAACGGCTAGTCGCATGGGCCCATATACTCATTTGTAAATACTTACCATCATCAAATGTCCCCCAAATCAGTTTTTTAAAATTCAGGTCTGACCTTGAAAGAAAGACCAAGTCAAGTACATTTTGAAATGTGGAATTATTGTTGTCTTTGCTAACTTTTCACACACACCCCCATCCCATAATACATTTGTGAGGCTGGGTGTGGGGACTAGTCCTCGTAAGTCTACGTAGCTTTTGTTCACAGATTTCTGAAGTCAAACAGGTGTCTTTGGCGTACAGCTGGGGTGTAGACTTCCTTTCGGATAACCAGCAATAGAACTAGAAGGGAATTAAAGGCCCTGGAGGCCACTCCCAGCCTCTAAATGGGCAACATTTGAAAAGGAACAGTCCCAATAGAGGTGTCCTCCATCCTTCTCCCTGGAGTCGATACACTTCAAAGCCCCCAGGCTGCTCCTACACACAGGAATAGTCCTGGATGTATCTAAGCACCAGGGAAATGTTCATCTTCTAGGACAAAAGAATAAATCTTGCTTTTCTTGGAAGAATCACCCTGTTCCCTGAGCCCCTACTGCAACATGGTGGGGTTTGTTAGCAGAAATTCCATGACATGGTTATGTTCCCTGATAGGTTGACACACTTCAAAATTGGGAGATGTGGTGGATGAAAAGTGTCCCAGTGCTAGTTGGAGCAAAGGGCCCCATTTCTGGACTATTTGGGTTTCTGTTCTAAATTGCCCTTTGGAGAAGTAGTTTTTGTGAAAACTGTAGAAAGAATTATTTTTTTCCTAGCTTGCCTGAAAGGCTGTGATTAAGGATGAAGGGAAATAAAACTAGGTGACTCCACAGGTTTCATTTTTCTACATCATTTGTAGTCTAAGTAGATGTTCTTTGAGTTTCCATTTTGTGTTTCTGTACTTAACCATACACTGTAGAGATTCCCCCTACCCCACGCAAAGGCCTCTGAGCTCTGTAATATACAAAAATTCTTGTTTGAGGCCAGGGGATATAAAAGGCATATACTTTAAAAGAAGCATGAAAAATACTTTTAGTAAGTATACTCAAATTTTATCTACTGAAATGCATGTAGTAGGTTGATACAGAAACGAGGAAGAAAAGACCTAGGTAGCTCATATTTTAGTACAAAAATGACAGCAAATGAGTTTAGGATACTTTAGTGTTCCTTCTGCACTTGTCCTACCACATGCAAAGACTGGTAAGCAGCAAGGTGAGACTGAAATTCCTGAAGACTTTGTTTCAGCTTGGCACCCTCAGGGGTCTGGGTACCATCTGCTGACTTTGATCTAGGACTAATTCCCAGTAATAACCCAGCACATTTCTTTAATGTGTTTCAAGGGCCTGCTGTAATGGAGGCAACCCTTTAAGGTCTTCACGTTCAGTTTCCCTTTGACTGTCTGGTACCTTTCGTTGTGTAGATGCCTCTACAAAAGTCCTAAATTCCAAATTCTCAGAGAAGATGCAGGTCAGGGTTCTGTTCAGGCAGGCACAGTGTTAAGGGAATGCCCTGGGCTTATTTGGAAACTTTGGAGGCTGGGATCACTGTTTCTCCAAGACTTCTCCCCTTGCTGGGAGGATTGCATCGTGGGGCACCTCAGATCTAGTGTGGCCTACCTGGCAGCAGATACAGTATGCAGAGCATCTCATTCAGTCCATAAGAACAGCCCTACTGGGTGTTATCATCCCTTTTGACACACTAGAAAGCAACTGTCCAAAAACCAGCCAGGAGGCAGAAGTGAACTCACTGGAATTTACCACCTTTTTCTCCAAACCCAGTTCTGTTTCTGCCCTTCAAGCCCTGGAGAGGGGCTGCCCTCCCCCTGTGCTGAGTGGACTCCAGTGAGACCTGGCGTCCACTTCTCTGCTGAGGCTCCCTCCTGTCGAGCAGGATTCAACATTTGGTGTTTTGCCAGAAAGTTCGTTATTAGAGCTGCAAATAGAAATGATCAATTTTTCTTTTCCTCCCCAAATGGAAATAGCACTCAACTTCCTTTAAAACGAACTTCCTAATTTTATCTTTGGTTGTAGTACAAAAAAATGTACAAAAACTTAGAAAACCACAGAGTTGGAGATTTTCAAAACATTGTTGGCTGACTATCAGAGATGGCCTTAGATTTTGCTTTGGGGGGCATGAGTATAATATAGGAAAATATCTTTTCTCAGGGAGTGGGGCTTTCAGGGTTGATTTCTTGTGACTGGGATTAGAGCCGTGCATTTGTACATTTGTATTTTTTACTCTCTACATCTTGTCTTATAGTTGCAGCTCTTGGATTTGACCTGTGATTATAGATGGGGCTTCTGATCTGATCTCTTTTCTTTTGATGAGCATAGGAGGAAATCAGCTTTGCTGATGACATCCTGGGGACATAGTAAATCCAGTTCATGTGAAGGGACTTCAACATCTAATACATTTAGTCCCTCATCTTGTATCCCAGAGAGGGTAAATGGTGGCTAACATCACCCCAGCCCAGTTTCCTGACTCTGAGTCTCACCCTGCCTCACACAGCACTCTCAGAGATTTGGATGGGGAATGGTGGCTAAGGGAGGGGCAGTGACTGGTCTGAGGTTCCCTATTTGGTAGAGAGGTTGGGACCGCATTGCACTGCATTCCCTGAGCTCTTACAGGTAAATTCACTTTTCATGAACTCAGTTATATCTCAAATATACTCAGAAAACTAGCTTTTAAAAATTTTCCATTGTAATTGTAATGTGAGTAATCTCTAATTGGCGTTTTCTTTGGCAAGGATAGGGGACATTCATTCAGATTTTCACCTTTGGGATTTCCTGAGGCTTGCTCGGACTAGCTCAGGATTTTTTCTCCACTCAGTGCCTGTAAAGCCCTGGAGTTGACAGGGCAGAAGTCATGACATTGAGTAGCTTGTGGAGTGAGGGGGGATCAACTATCAGAACTCCACATTTCAATTCCTTTTTGGGGAGAGGAAGGAGGGTGATGAAAGATAAGTCTCATGTATTTGCATTGTGAGCCCAGAGTCTCCACCAGTGGGGACAGTCCAGATGGACTGGGGTTTCTGGAACTTCTCTACAGAGGAATTGAGACCTCCCGTGCTTCTCTAAGTAAATGATGGGTTTGGTGTTCCCATTGGAATCTGGCTGTAAAGTCAGTGCCATAGCTGAGTGAGCACGATCATATCAGTTAAGAGCGGAAAGTAGTAGCCTGCTGACATTTTCCTCTCCAGTGTCCCCATGCTTATCTGCTAGAGCCCTTGAGGCAGGCCAAAGAGGCTGGCTCTCCTTCAGGCTCCTAAGGTGTTGCATTATTGAAAACTCTGGAATCTGCTACAGTCCTCTCTGTTTCCACCAGCAGTGAATAGAATAACAAAAAGAACCTGCTGAATGCAATGGCCTGATGCTTTGTGCAGCAATCCAAGCTCACCTGGGCAGGTATTGGCAGGAAGTACACAGAGCCATGGAGTCTTGACGTCTCTGTCTCTCCCCTTCTCTGTCCAGTTCTTGCTGTCCTCTGCAGCCACCTCAAGGGCTAAATCATTGAATGAGTCCCTTGGTTCCTCCTTATAAATGCAGTAATTTATTTGTGATGCTGAGTCTAATCCCAGGTTACGAAACAAAGGCTTGTGATCTGACCTGCTCCTTATTCTGCCCTGTGCCTTGTCCAGGGGTGGGAGAAGTTTCTAGCAATTTTGACTGTCTGTTTGCTGCCTGGTGCTTTTCATTTGTTTTGTGTGTATGTGTTTTGTTTTTTTTAAACCAAAATTGCATTGGTTGGGTCGTCGTTGTCAAGTATGTATTTATTGTGTTTTACAAACATGAGTATATATGTATGTATATGTATAAAAGCAAACTTATATATAAAAAGTCAAGGCATGTATACTAGATATTTTAAAGAGTTATTTATCAAGGGGAAAAGATGTGTGTTATAAACAGAGTCTATATTTTATATATAATGTAGATAGCAAAAATAGCTTATAAATTATAGAAGGTTTTGGTTTTTCTTTTTTATTATTAAAGCAAAAAAAGAAAAAGAAAAGGACAATGAATGCAACTGTTCCTAGTGTTTTAAAAGACAAACTACTGTGGGAGTTGGGAGGCAGTCTTCCCTGCTGGGCCTTCCAGCAGGTTTGGCGACCATTACCCTGGCCCACCCAGCAGATCCCCGTTACTGCTTACAAGACGCTGGGGCCAGGGGGTCACATCCCTCTGCCTGCTCGCCTGTGTGGCTCCAAAGGCGGCCCCTCGCTCTTCTCCACAATTTGCATTGGTGGGATAAAGAAAACAAGTGGCAAATAAAGATTTAAAAGCAGCAGCAGTTCCAGTTCTTTCTCATTTTCTCAGCTCAGGTGCTCCTAATTTAGGTACCTGCAGGATTTGTGGGATGTGAAGCGTGAATGGGTATGTTAGAGGGGTGTGTGTGCTGGAGGCAGCTCTCGTGTGTCAGCACCCAGGAGGCTGAGTCAGGGGTCAACTCACCTTCCACTTTTGATCGGAATCATTGAATCTGAGAGTGGGAGGCACTTCACAGCCAGCTGCTTCAAACCCTCACTTTGGAAAAGTGGAAATGGAGAGGAGAGAAGCTCCCTAGAGCCTCTTGGGGTGTGTGTGTGTGTGTGTGTACATGCGTGTATGTGTTCATGTGTTTGTCAAAAACTAGACCAGGGAGGAGGGTGGCGATGCAGTTTTAGATTGGGAGAATAAATTTGAAATTTGCTTGTCATCTTAATATTACACCCTAAGTTCCCACAACCAAGCTCTGAAGACACTTACGACAGGTTCACTCGATTATGTAAGAGAGTATCTTTGCTTACTTTTATATCAGTGTTCAAGGACAGCCATTGTGCACCTAATTTGAAGCTTGCATATATGGGTTCCCCACAGATGGACGGCCCCTTCCTCTCCACACTCTGCTGAGTCTTACAGAATATGTACAGTGCTGCTTCTGGTCCACGTTTTCCTTTTATATAAACAGATAATTAACCATCACAAGGCCTGAAATCTCATTATTCTCTCCTTCATAAGCAGGCTGAACCTAACATTCAGAACTCAGTCTAACTGTTAAGATAAGATTGCTGCAAACCTCTGCATCCACAGAGATCATAAAGTTTGAGAATGTTCCATGCTGTGCGCAATCAGCAGGGACTCTCATAATGGTTCTGCTTAGGGCAGTGAGGACAAACGCTGTGTCACAGCTGAAGGCACCATCTGCCCTGATGTGAAGAACCGCTGAGACGGGGTCTAAGGTCCAGTCTTTCTGTATCTTCCATCAGAGTGAAGAACCAACCAACCTTCAATAGGCCTCATATCTCCTGAGCATTTATGTAAGTGTTCTCCATGATGTCGATTCCTCCCAGTTAAGGTCTATTTCCTGCTTTATAAACCAGAGAATATACAGTTGACACTCTAATCTGAATATCAGAAACCCCAAATACTCTGAAATCTGATTTTTTTTAGTAGAAACATCATGCTCAAAACATCTCAGATTTTGTTTATTTTTGGATTTGCAAATGAGGGATGCTCAACCATTTGCAAATATTCCAAAATCTAAAAAAAGTTTGAAACCTAAAAAACACTGGGTCCCAAGCATCTTGTATAAGGACTACTCAACTGGCCTTGCCTCCTACTACATTGCAAAATATGATGAGCACAGCTTTCACTATCTCCAAACTGTTGCCGGAAATGAACAGTCAGATGCCCAGCATCACGGTGTCCTTTGCTGGTCAAAGGAGAACTCTGCGTGTCCTCTCCTGTCTGTCCACCCACCACCTAGAAATACAACCATTCTCCTGTTTCACTGCCTGCTGCTTTTATCTCATGTATTTTTTAGCACTGTTGTGATAAGGCTGGGTGATTCAGTTTGAAAAATAAACTGACTCCCATGATTGCTATGAGAATGAATTACATATGTGCAAAGTCTGCAGAAATCTGTATAGAAATGAAAACACAAAGCTCACCTCACCTTAAGTAGGGGGTCCCATTTAATGGGCCCACAGTCACCTTTTTCTTTGCTAAGATCCCTCTGCCCGGATCTCCCCTTAGGCTTTGCCCCAACTCTTGCTGGAAGGTTGTCCAACAAGTCTAGACAACAGAGATGAAAAACAGGCATCACTGCAAACGGTTGGTGCCAAGTCACAATCAGAGAGACAGTGTTGCAGCTTACTTGATCCCAAACTACAAAACAAAAATACTGCTGCAAGTTAAAACCATTCAAAATCCTTTGCCTCATTCATTCAGTCAGGCTTCCTTTTGAATCTTATCTCCGAGTCTCCATCTGCTGGGTAAAGACTCGCTATGTCAGCTTCTGCAGCACTGCTGAGGTCTGACCACAGCTCTGCCAGACAAACCCCACCATAGCTAACCTAGTTGTTAGGCTTCCTCTAAAATGTCACACTAAGCACAGAAATACCTTTCCTAATTTTATGCAAGTTTTGATACCCTTGGGTCAAACCAAACTCTTTCCCTTCAGCCATGTGTGAAAATGAAAAATTAAATAACTTTTTTGGAGCCTTTCTTGGGCAGTTATATTGTCCCTTAATATCTGTGAGGGGACTGATTCCAGGTCTCCTCAGGGATACCAAAATCCATGGATTCTGAAGTCCCTTCTATAAATGGTGTAACATTTGCCTATGACCTATGCATAGCCTGTATACTTTAAATAATCTCATAATTACTTATAATACCCCAAACAATGTAAATGCCATGTAAACAGTTGTTATTTTATATTGGTTAGGAAATAATGAAAGGAAAAAAGTTTAGATGTTTCATAGCTATGTGATTTGGAGGGTGGGTATTTTCGATCCATGGTTGGTTGAATCTGCAGCCAACCAACCTACAGATGTGGAGGACCAACCGTATAGCTTAACTCATTCCTTGGTCATAGATAGGGTTCAGTCCTAGCATTACAATCTGAAATGCACTGTATGTGCGCCCTGTTGTCTCCAACCCATTTGTCAAGTGCCCCAGGAGGGAGGAGCTGTGAGAAGGCCTCACGCGGCTACAGCAACTGTGAAGACCACATGCACCGAGCTCATAGGTCAGGCTCGATTCAGGACCCTTCTCCCCAAGTCACTAACTCTCTCTTAGGCAAACGTAAGGTGTCTCAAACAGGACTAAATCAGACGGAGGCTCTTTGAGTCTCCTTTGGAAACTGGTGAACCACTCCAGACTTCTCACAAGCAAAAACCAAGCAGACACAATGGCTACTGAAACCCAGGGAAGGCAGAATTAGGGCCCACTGTGTCTTCCGAGGCAGCTCCTCAAGGTGCAGCTGTGGGAATCTGAGCGTGAAGTTCAGGTTTCTGCCACGAAGCAGAAAACAGAACTAACCCCGTGAGAGCAGCTGTGGATGAATCCAGCTGTGGAGTGCTAGAATCATACAGATCATGGAGAAGTAGGAGTAGGAGGGAGATAAGAAGATGCTAGAGGAAAAAAAAAAAAAAAAAGGAAGGAGCTGGTGGTACTGGGCAGCCAGGGGAGGAGAGCGCGGCAGGCAGAGGCTAGCTCAAGCCACTGGTAAAAATAGATTAAAGGGAATGAACAGAGGAAGACCACAGAGCTGTGAATGTAAGATACGGAGGTTGTGGAGATCAGTACACTTGGCACAAGATTCTGAAATCTGCTTCCTCTGTGGCTGGCAGGCCTGCAACTCTGCTCCGGGAACAGCTTGTCTGAGGAGGAGGATGGCAGATAAGAAGGAACGAGGGAAGAATTCTGACAGGAGCTACCACACTGTTGGCTGGGACGTTTCCAGGGTGTCACACTGTGTTAAGACCCCCAGTGACCCTGCGTCCCCACCCCCTTTCATGTTCCTTTTCCTACTTGCAAATCCCCCAAACCTGACATCTTCATGGATTCAACATCTGCCATTTCTCCCAGGCTGCTCGTCCCCCTGGACACCCTCTCCACTCAGTAGTTTTCCACTTGATGGGCACCCCCAATGCCTCTGGGGCCTTTACACAACCTCCCCTCTACGCTGTTACTGTGATCTGCTTTCTCCTCAGCAGCACAGCAGGCCTGGCCGGCAGAAGTGGGAGCTCATCAGCCCCACCTAGGCCCGGGTCTCTGCTGCCTTGGACTCGCTGACTCAGTCCCCAGATCCACCCTAGGTCCTCTGCCTCCCTGGCTTCTCTGTGATGTGCAGGTTTCTCCCCTCCCTGAAAACAACCACCTCTTCTTTCATCCATCCATGCGTCCAGTCTGAAGCCATTCAAGAAAAGCCTTCTTCCCTGTTCCATCAGCTGATGTATGTGAATCCACCCTCTTCCCTATCCTCGAGGAGGGAAACCAAGGCAGAGGCATCCCTTCTCCTGATGCTGGATCTTGCTCCTTCCCAGCCTGCTCTCCTGTCCCACCTTGCTCTCGCTCTGTTACCTGCCCCTTCCCTCCATCCTTCAGTGAGACCGATGATTCCTGGCCTGGCGTATGAATTCAGGAGTCTCTGAAGTTAGGGAAAACGAATTTTGATTTTCACTAACACTAATGAAATTTAGTGTTTCCTTTCAGTATTACAAAAAAAAAAAAAAGAATCACAAGAAGACACTATCTGTGATTTTATCACCAACAGAACTCATACATATTTTCATATTTCATTATTGGTTTTGAGATTTCTTAAAATATCAGTTACTTTCATCACTTCTCTGAAATTATGGAAATCGCTAGAGTAGAACCAGATTTTATCACTTAATATTTCAATAAACAACTCATATTGCTCTACCAACAATTTCCTTTTGAATTTGTGTAACTGTGTGGCAATATAACTTGATACCAATAATATGCATATTATTTTACACATTTAAAAACTTTTTCGGGGAGAGAGGGAAGTCATTATTCCTAGTCACTAATCTCACCAGATTATAGGTAAATATGGCACCAAAAATAGTTCAGACTCCAAATTTGGCAGAAATGGCCTTTGCCTAATCCTTATTCCAGACTATACAGTTTCCAATGTTTACTAAATATGATTTGAATAATGACATAATTAGTTTAAAATAAATATTCTGACATACAAAGAACTCTCTGATCATTTAAGCCCACAAACATCTTCTATGGGTAGATCTTGTTCAAAAAGGTGTATATCATAATCAAAAAGGACTATCTTAATACAGGCAGGTCTGGGTACTAAACCACACAGTCTGAATCAATATTCAGGTAGAAACTGGATTCCAAATCCCAACTCTAATTACTACCACCCAGTAAGCACACCAAATAAAATGATTAAATGAGTAGAAAAATTTAAAGTTCAAACAACACAGGATTCTGTTAACCTAAACGGTGCAAAAAAGTATACAATAAAAGTTAAAATCCCTTCCATCCCAA